CAACCAACCCCAGCACCAGGCACCCCGGGGCAACAACCAATACCCCGGGGCATCAACCAACACCCCGGGGCACCAACCAACACCCGCGGCACTAACCAACACCCAGGGGCACCAACCCACCCGGGGCACCAACCAGCACCCAGGGCAACAACCAATACCCCGCGGCACTAACCAACACCCAGGGGCACCAACCAACACCCGGGGCACCAACCAGCACCCCGGGGCACAACCAATACCCGGGGCATCAACAACACCCAGGGCATCAACCAACACGGGGCACCAGCCAGCACCCCGGGCAGCAATAATACCCCATCCTGGGGGCACCAGCCAACCAAATAGGGGCATCAGGCCACTAACCAACACCCAGGGGCACCAACCAACACCCTGGGGCACCAACCAGCACCCCAGGGGCACAACCAACACCCGGGGCACAACCAGCACCCAGGGGCACCAACCAGCACCCCAGGGCACCAACCAGCAACCCAGGGGCACCAACCACACCCAGGGGCACCAACCCAGCCCAGGGGCACCAAACACCCCAGGGGCACCAACCCAAACACCAGGGGTTCCACCAGCACCCCAGGGGCCAACCCCGGGGCGCAACCAACCCCCCCAGGGGCACCAACCAACACCCCGGGGCGCAACCCAGCACCCAGGGCAACCAACCAACACCCCGGGGCACCAACCAAGGGGCACCAACACCCCGGGGCACCCCAACACCCAGGGCACCAACCAACACCTGGGGCACTACCAACACGGGGCACCAACCAACACCCGGGGCACCAACCAGCACCCAGGGGCACCAACCAGCACCCCAACCCAAGGGGGCACCAACCAACACCCCAGGGCACACCCGGGGCAACCAACACCCCCAGCAACCAACCAGCACCCCAGGGCGCCAACCAACCCCGGGGCACCAAACAGGGCACCAACACCCGGGGCACCAACCAACAAATCACACCCAATACCCCAAGGCCAACCAACACCCCGGGGCACCAATAACACCCAACAACCAACCCAGGGGCACCAGGGGCACCAAACAGGGGCACCAACCCAACCTGGGCACCAACACCCCGGGGCACCAACCAACACCCCGGGGCACCAACCAACACCCAGGGGCACCAACCAACACCCCGGGGCATCAACCAACACCCCGGGGCATCAACCAACACCCCGGGGCATCAACCAACACCCCGGGGCATCAACCAACACCCCGGGGCAACAACCAACACCCCGGGGCACCAACCAACACCCCGGGGCACCAACCAACACCCCGGGGCACCAACCAACACCCCGGGGCACCAACCAACACCCCGGGGCAGCAAGAAGGTTATTATAGCTACCAGAGTCATTAGGTTTCCTCCGCGCTGTTTGGTCAGTATAGTCAGTCTGCCCCAAGCTTCACTGATCAATAAAGTCATATTTAACCTAATCTAATCACATCACTTAACCTAACCTAACCTAACTAGTTACTAAATTAAACTCAACCTTATCCAATCTCAAACTACTCTGACCTACAACGATACACATTACATATATTATCTAATCCAACTTTACATATTCCACAAAAAATCTAACCTAACCGAACCCAACCTAACCTAACGTAACCTAACCCAACCCAACCCAACCTAACCTAACCTAACCTAACCTAACCTAACCTAACCTAACCTAACCTAACCTAACCCAACCTCAACTAATCTAACCTAACACTGTGACTTTACCTGAACGAGATAAGATAAACAGGGTCTATACATTCTGAACACTTGACAATGTTCATCCCGTCATATTTATTGTACACCGACACTTTTTATTTATTACTTCCCATTAAATTGTGTTAATGTATCGTGTGTGTGTGTGTGTGTGTGTGTGTGTGTGTGTGTGTGTGTGTGTGTGTGTGTGTGTGTGGAGTGGAATGTATACACTCACTCCAAAAAACATCACATGTGTACCATTATCTTGTGTACTTAAGCTGTGTATACCTGTATGTAATGACCTCAATACCTCCTTAATTAACCAGGTGATACATGGAATATACACTCATACACAGTCACCACCCAAGACCAGACTCACTAAAAAAAACAAACACATAAAAACATTCACTGGCAACTCACCTCCTCCCGCCAATTTGTCAAGTTCTCACAGGAAACAGATTATTTAAAGTCCACATTCCATATTAAAAAAAAAAAAAAAACTTACGATATTTTTTTCTCGTTGCTGGTAATATAACACAGATGTGATTATTTTCCTTAATATATCATAAAACGGTGACTAAAATGGCTTCTAAGTTAGGTTTACATTTACTATACCCAAAGGCTCTATCTAAAGGCTCTACCTACCCAAAGACTTTACCCAGAGACTCTACCTAAACACACCTCGCCAATGATTCTACTCAAAGATTCTACCTAAAGACTCTGCGGTGGTTTATAATTCCCGTTGAAACTTTCTATTATAAAAGTCAGTTGTAAGAGATGGAGAGTTTCAGAATGTGGTAATGTGGTGGTGCGTGGTGGTGTGGTAATCTGTGGTTATGTGATAGTGTGGTTGTGTGGCGGTGTGGTAGCGTGTGGTGGTGTGGAAGAATGTGGTAGCGGTGTGGTAGTATGGTAGAATAAGATGTTGTGGTAGAGGAAGTTAATCACGAGAATCACACGTGTTCGTCAAACAGGTGAAGAAAAATGGAGGTTTCTCTCAATTTCGATATATCGGGTTTAGCCAATTTTACGCATCTATTGTACACATCTTGACAATTTTTTACTTGCATCTCTAGAGTAACACCTGACATTTGGATGGTGTGTGTGTGTGTGTGTGTGTGTGTGTGTGTGTGTGTGTGTGTGTGTGTGTGTTCGGATGCAAGCTAAAATTCGATTAAAAGTCGACGGCGAGCGGATGAGACATGAAGTTCGGATAAAAGTTGACAGTCGGATAAAAGTGAATGTCCGGATGAGAGGGGCCAGTAAGTGGCGTAAAACAAACTAGGGGGTAGGGGCCATCATCACACCTTCTGTTGCACCACACATGTTATTCTCACCACCACCACCACCACTACCATTACTTAAAGCTGCTGCTCCACCCTCCTACCTACCCGTGTGTTGGCATGGAAACACCCCCCTCCCCCACCCCCATCACGCTATGTCCCTGACCTACCATGACCTATGATGTATTGTACTATCATTGTTGCTTCACCTACCATGATCCATTTTACACTACCATGAACCCTTGTTACACCACCATGATCCACCATAACCCGATATACTAACCTTGCCCCTCCCCTACCATGAACCACCTCATATCTCCGTCACACTACCCACTGTCTCTCAGCCGACACCGGGCCACATCGTGTCATCTGGTAACTGTTGCACCTCTTACAATAATTTGCTCACGGAATCAATATTCTGTAATTTGTGTTGTTTTACTGTCATGGGAAATCCTGACTGAACCAACTTCCAACAACAGGATGAGAGCACACACACACACACACACACACACACACACACACACACAAGCGACTGGTGTAAATCTAACAGAATTGCCTTAACTGTGGTTTCGTTAATGAAGGCCGCGTATATACTGCAATGTCGGATTTAGTCAATACATTCCAATAGTGGATTTTGGACCATTATACAGGCATACACACCAAGGTAATCCGACCTAAGTGCAGGTAAAGATGAAGTTGTTAGAGGCACACAAAGGTAATTCCACCCAATTGGATGATCAGCTTCGTTCATTACTTGAGATAAGTTTATGATATTGTGATTAGTTAATGATATATGCAAAGAGAAGGTCGGCCGATTACCTCGTGCAGTTTACGACCACGATGGGTGAGAGTACGATCGAGTAATTATCTTGTGGTAGTTGGGTATTGTTGTGTGTTTAACGAGGCTGGTAATTGGCAGGTTGCGGCTAAGTTAGGTCAGGTTAGGTTAGGTAGCGGGCCGTACAGATCTTGGTACTGTTAATAAAGGCTATTAAGAATACGAACACTGGTGAGGATATGAAGTTTATGTTGATATATAACCCCACACACACACACACACACACACACACACACACACACACACACGATGTAAATATAAATGTTGACCAGGACAGGAAAATATAATCCGCCAGTGAACTCTACCAACCCATCCATCAGTTTACAAGTTTATCACTATTTTTAACAACTGGGTAACTCCCTCGCCATGCTACAATAGTTTCCGTATTGTGTTACAGTCAGGAGTACAGAAGCCACAGCACAATATAATTTCACCGTGAAAGTACAAATAGATTACGGGGATTTTCTGAGGTGAAAACAACAACGGCAACAAAAAAGGCTTATGAGTTATTGCTGTAAATGTCAGTTTTATGATTATTTATGAGTAATGTTATAATTATTTTTATTACTGTAATTATTATTGTTGTTTTTATTCATTTTAATTATTACTCCTATTACACCCATTACAAATAATAATAATAATAATAATAATAATAATAATAATAAACAATATTAATAATAATAATAATAATAATCATTAATACTATTATTATTATTAGTTACTATCATATCCTTTTGTTGTTGCATTGCCACAGTTTTGAAAGTTAAAAGCAAAAAACAATCTGGTTGGGAGGTGCGAATAACCTCAAACAGAGGTCCTCAACCCACCTACAAAACGGCTCTACGGTTCCAGGGCGCGACAGGATAATATCATATAGTTTACGAGGACTCCTTGGGAAATGTTGTATAACTGGTGATTTTATATTTTTTTTCCCATGCGAAATAATAATATACAAAACTGAAATTATATCCACAAGAATACCCGCGCCATTGTCACGACCACTTGTAGGGTAGAAATGGCGTCGAAAAATATAATTATATATATCAAAGAAAATGTGATTTACAAAGTACACATAAGGAAAGTTGATTTAAAAAGTACACATAAGAAAAGGCGATTCACAAAGTACACATAAGAAAAGGCGATTCACAAAGTACACATAAGGAAAGGTCATTTACAAAGTACACATACCTCATACTCTGTAGTTTGGCGAGTGGTCTGACGTCGTGGGCACTGCTAGAATCTGAAAGGAAAAACACGTGATGAAGATATAAATTTTTCATGAGGCATGTAGACAGGATCAATGTGTCCCTTCACAAACATGTATGGTAATAAAGGCTTGTGCTGCTTCTGTTATCGGTGCTGCTTCTGTTATCGGTGCTGCTTCTGTTATGGGTGCTGCTTCTGTTATCGGTGCTGCTTCTGTTATCGGTGCTGCTTCTGTTATGGGTGCTGCTTCTGTTATGGGTGCTGCTTCTGTTATGGGTGCTGCTTCTGTTATCGGTGCTGCTTCTGTTATGGGTGCTGCTTCTGTTATGGGTGCTGTCACAGTGGTGCTACTTCTGTTATCGGTGCTGCTTGTTATGGGTGCTGCTTCGTTATTTGTGCTGCTTCCAGCAGGGTGCTGCTTCTGTTATTTATGGTGCTGCTTCTGTTATGGTGCTGCTTCCGTTATCGGTGCTGCTTCTGTTATGGTGCTGTTTGGTTAATGGTGCTGCTTCTGTTATGGATGCTGCTTCTGTTATGGGTGCTGCTTGTTATCGGTGCTGCTTCTGTTATGGGTGCTGCTTCGGTTATCGGTGTCAGTTTGTTGCGGGTGCTGGCTTCATGGTCGGTGCTGCTTCTGGTTATGGGTGCTGCTTCTGTTATCGGTGCTGCTTCGTTGCAAAAGGTTTGCTATCGGTGCTGCTTCTACAGGTGCTGCTTCTGTTATGGGTGCTGCTTCTGTTATCGGTGCTGCTTCTGTTATGGGTGCTGCTTCTGTTATGGGTGCTGCTTCTGTTATCGGTGCTGCTTCTGTTATGGGTGCTGCTTCTGTTATGGGTGCTGCTTCTGTTATCGGTGCTGCTTCTGTTATGGGTGCTGCTTCTGTTATGGGTTCTGCTTCGTTATCGGTGCTGCTTCTGTTATGGGGTGCTGCTTCTGTTATGGGTGCTGCTTCTGTTATGGGTGCGCTTCGTTAGTGGTGCTGCTTCTGTTATGGGTGCTGCTTGTTATCGGTGCTGTTTGCGTCTGCTTCGTTATGGGTGCTGCTTCTGTTATGGGTGCTGCTTCTGTTATCGGTGCTGCTTCTGTTATGGGTGCTGCTTCTGTTATCGGTGCTGCTTCTGTTATGGGGTGCTGCTTCTGTTATCGTGCTGCTTCTGTTGGCGGTGCTGCTTCTGTTATCGGTGCTGCTTCTGTTATGGGTGCTGCTTCTGTTATCGGTGCTGCTTCTGTTATCGGTGCTGCTTCGTTATGGTGCTGCTTCTGTTATTTGGTGCTGCTTCTGTTATGGGTGCTGCTTCTGTTATCGGTGCTGCTTCTGTTATGGGTGCTGCTTCTGTTATGGGTGCTGCTTCGTTATGGGTGCTGCTTCGTTATCGGTGCTGCTTCTGTTGCGGGTGCTGCTTCTGTTATCGGTGCTGCTTCGTTATGGGTGCTGCTTCTGTTATCGGTGCTGCTTGTTATGGGTGCTGCTTCTGTTATCGGTGCTGCTTCTGTTATGGGTGCTGCTTCTTATCGGTGCTGCTTCTGTTATGGGTGCTGCTTCTGTTATGGGTGCTGCTTCTGTTATCGGTGCTGCTTCTGCGGGTGCTGCTTCTGTTATCGGTGCGTTTGGGTGCTGCTTTGTTATCGGTGCTGCTTCTGTTACGGGTGCTGCTTCTGTTATCGGTGCTGCTTCTGTTATGGGTGCTGCTTCGTTATCGGTGCTGCTTCTGTTACGGGTGCTGCTTCGTTATCGGTGCTGCTTCTGTTATGGGTGCTGCTTCTGTTATGCGGTGCTGCTTCTGTTATGGGTGCTGCTTCTGTTATCGGTGCTGCTTCTGTTATGGGTGCTGCTTCTGTTATGGGTGCTGTTTGTTATGGGTGCTGCTTCTGTTATGGGTGCTGCTTCTGTTATGGGTTCTGTCACACTGTGCAAGACTGATCCTGCACCTATGATCATTGCACTATACTCCAACAAGCTCTATGTTCAAAGGTATATTAACTGTGAACATGTAATGAAGGTGGTTATGGAAATCCTAACCTAACCTATCTTAAACCTAACCTATCTTAACCTAACCTATTTTAACCTAACCTAACCTATCTTAAACCTAACCTATCTTAACCTAACCTATTTTAACCTAATCTAACCTATCTTAAACCTAACCTATCTTAACCTAACCTATTTTAACCTAATCTAACCTATCTTAAACCTAACTTATCCTAACCTATATTAACCTAACCTATCTTAACCTAACCTAACCTCGACGTCTTCAAAATTAGGCGTTTATGGCACTTCTGAGTGACGTGAAAGCTCCTACAGTGACCTCGTCTTATATGAAGGAGTAGTTGGCTAATCAAAGGCAAATTTCTCTTAAAGATCTGATCAACTTATTTCTGAAAAAAAAAATAATAATCTACAACAAAGAGATGAATCCCACAAGGAACTCAATGTTCCTAAGTAATTGGCCGGTTTAGTATTATTGAACGATCTCACATCAAAACTGAATGATTAGAATCTTGAGCTACAAAGGCAAATGAAAACTCTTCCACAGATGATGGGTTCAGTAAATTCCTTCATATGTCAACTGAAATTGTAGATGTCTCAGGTGACGAGGCTTTATCAGTACTCTTCAGCCTACAGAAAATACTTCACCCCGGATTGGTCTTTTCCAAATTAAATACTTCTGACCTGGAGAAGGAAATAACCTGTTGAAACAAACTTACACTTAAAAACCAGAGCAAAACAGCCAAAGTTGGTCACTAATGGAACAAGAGAAATTCAAATACAGATCACATTTGACTGATGGTCGCCAGAATGACCTCAAGAAAATAGCACTAACAAAATATATAACAGAAAGAATGCAATGCTAGCCGAATAAAACAAATAAGTAAATAAACAAATACATAATCAAATAAATACATAAACAAATAAATAAATAAAAGCCAGGCAATATTTATAAGACGTGACCCCAACAATGTGTACACACAAACACACCTACTAGCCACACACAAACACACTACTAGCCACACAAACACACTACTAGCCACACAAACACACTACTAGCCACACAAACACACTACTAGCTACACAAACACACTACTAGCCACAAAAACACACTACTAGCCACACAAACACACTACTAGCCACACAAACACACTACTAGCCACACAAACACACCCTACATCACAACTTCTCGTTCCTCCCCAGTAAAGCTCACCATGTTATCGCCTCCACACTTCATTACAACTCTTTGGGAACACCGATGCGACGGAGAATCAAATAAGCTCAGGTTTAAAACCAACAAGATCTGTGACACCCAGAGGTATACAGCTGTGAGGGGAGGACACAGGGTGGAAACAGCTGGGTCAGGGGGAACACACACACACACACACACACAGAGCTGGGTCAGGGGGAACACACACACACACAGCTGGGTCAGGGGAAATACAAAGAGATGGTAAAACAGCTGGGTCAGGGGTGCTTTAGTGATGAACACAAAGTAGGTCACACACACGGGTGGGTAACACAGATAGGTGGGTCACACAGATACGTGGGTCACACACATAGGTGGGTCACAGATAGGTGGGTCACACAGATAGGTGGGTCACACAGATTGGTGGGTCTGGGCAAGTGATCAGTATAAACAGTCATTCCTCTGACGCTGACAATAATTTATTTAAACTTTGTATGTGAGTCTTGCCAAGTTGTAATGACCAGGGGGCTGTAACACGACCGAGGAGGAGGGAGGAGCGGGGACGGAGGAGGATTGTGGGAAGGGATGCAGGAAGGAAGAGAGGAGAGAGGAGATAAAATATATGAAATAAGAAAGAGAGATAGAAAGAAAGGAGAAAACAAGAAAAATGAAGACAGAAGAAGGAAGAAAGAAGAAAAACCCCATGGCTCATCACCCAGCCCGACCTGTACTGATCTCTTCCACCACAAAAACTAACACCCATAATTCCAATCATATATCTCATTAAACGGCTGCGTGAGGGAGGGAGGAAGGAGGCGGAGGAAGAAGGGCGGGAGGAAGGAAGGGAGGGAGGAGAGAGAGGATGAGAGCGAGAGGAATACCAATTACCTGTATTGTGTACCTATTACGTCTCTTGTTTACACACCAATCTCTTTACCTGCTCAAATAATATACTATTATTTTTTTTCTTTACTTGTCTGTTGAGAATAGTCTTTTAATAGTCATACTACTGGTGTTGTTTACGTCTGTCCATCCCATGCATCTACGTCTGTCCTGTCTACGTCTTATCAACGTAATAACGTCGACAAATACCAATGGATTTCGATCAAACTTTGTGTATTGATGTAAACAAACACAACATTCCTGATGAGTTAGCCAATCAGTAATTTTTTTCTCTTTATACCGATGAAGTTACGACTTGTTCCGTCTCCATGGCAACGGGGGGAGAGAGAGAGAGAGAGAGAGAGAGAGAGAGAGAGAGAGAGAGAGAGAGAGAGAGAGAGAGAGAGAGAGAGAGTTGTCTACTGTGCCTTTCTAAACTGTTTACGAGTGCACACTTTATTACGAAGGTCAAGCAGTTTATTTTTACACGAAGGAGAAGGAGAACACACTCACCACTGGCCTAGCTAGTGGAGGGGAGGAAGAGGAGTAACAGGAAGAGGAAAAACAAGAAGAAATGGAAGAATAGAAACAGGAAAAGGAAGGGGAAATGAGAAGAGGAAAATGAGGAGAAATAAGAGACAAATGAAGAAAAGGGAAACTGGAAATGGGTGAAAAGAAGAAGATGAAGAAGAAGAAGAAGAGTAAGAAGAAGAAGAAGAAGAAGAAGAAGAAGAAGAAGAAGAAGAAGAAGAAGAAGAAGAAGACCAGTAGCCTCACAACCACCAAGACCAGAAATCATGGAAATACGCCAGATAGTACTCTCATAACACGTCCAGGAGGGCGATAAGCGCCATAAAAACTATATTTTATTTAGTAATTAAGTAAAGCGACCAGCCACCACCCGATCCCGCCTTCACAACACAACTCGTAAAACTAATGGAAAACACTTGTTGTAGGACAAAGAGCCAAAGATTCCTAA